TTTTCCATAGTGATGGGACCCAGCCACCCACTGCTCAGCCATGTGCCCTCATGGAGTGCCTCTCCTGTCAGCTGGGCTCCAGCTGCACCCTGGGCCAGCTCCTGCCTCTGCCTGCTGCCATACGGGCAGAGCAACTGACATATCTACCTGGACCTACGCAAAGCCTTTGACACTGTCCCACATGACATCCTTGTCTCTAAACTGGAGAGACATGGATTTGGTGGGTGAACCATTTGGTGGATAAAGAACTGGCTGGATGGTCGCACACAGAGAGTTGTGGTCCACAGCACATTGTCCACGTGGAGGCCAGTGATGAGTGGTGTCCCTCAGGGGTCAGTGGTGGAGCTGACACTGCTCAATATCTTTGCAGTGACATAGACAGTGAATTGAGTGCACCCTCAGCAAGTTCTCTAATGACACCAAGTTTTGTGGGGCAATCACAGCCGGAGGGAAGGGATGTGCCATCCAGAGAGACCTTGACAGGCCTGAGAGGTTGCCAACGCAAACCTCATGAAGTTCAACAAAATGAAGTGCAAGGTCCTACATCTGGGCCATGGCAATCCCAGGCACAGCTACAGGTTGGGTGAGGAAGTAATTGAGACCAGTAACGAGGAAAAAGATTTGGGAGTTACAGTGGATAAGAAACAATGAGCCAGCAGTGTGCGCTAGCAGCCCAGAAAGCCAGTTGAATCCTGGGCTTCATCAAAAGAAGTGTGGCCAGCAGGTCGAAAGAGGTGATTCTTCCCCTCTGCTCTCGTGAGACCCTACCTGGAATGCTGCGTGCAGTTCTGGTGTCCTCAGCACAAGAAGGACATGGAACTGTTGGAGCAAGTCCAGAGGAGGCTACAAAGTTGATAAGAGGACTGGAGCATCTCCCCTATGAAGACAGGCTGAGGAAGTTGGGGCTGCTCAGCCTGGAGAAGAGAAGGTTGCTTGAAGACCTCATAGCAACTTTTCAGTATCTGAAGGGACTACAAGGGGGCCAGAGAGGGACTCTTTGTTAGGAAATCCAATGACAGGACAAGGGGTAGTGGGTTCAAGTTGAAGGAGGGCAAGTTTAGGTTAGATATTAGGAAAAGGTTTTTTACTGTGAGAGTGGTGAGACACTGGCACAGGTTGCCCAGGGAGGTAGTGGATGCCCCAACCCTGGCAGTGTTCAAGGCCAGGCTGGATGAGGCCTTGTGCATCCTGGTCTAGTGGGGAGGTGTCCCTGCCCATGGCAGGGGGGGTTGTGACTAAATGAACTGTAAGGTCCATTCCAACCCCTGAAACTCTGTGTTTCGACAAAATGACAGCTCCTCCATCACTGGCCATTTCCCCTTGCACCTCCCTCAGCACCTCCAGCCTTTTCTCTGTATCCCAGGATATCCAACCACACAGCTGCTACAGGCGAGTGTAGCAGGGCAGCTTGAAGGACACTCACGCACTTGGTACTTGATGTATGAGGTGCCCATGCCCAGGTGTTGGTGAGAACATCTGTGAGAAGATGTTCCAACCAATTGCAATGAAGCTCCACTGCAGGGCACAGCTGAGCCCTCATTGATGCTGGGCGAATGAGTCTCTGTGGTAACAACAGACTGAGAAGTGGATGTAAGGAAGGTGTGAGAGAAAAAACGTGAGAAATGAGCCCTGTGAACACTCAGATCAGAGGGGGAAGAAGAGCTCCAGGTGCCTCTGCAGCCCTGAGAGCTGGCAGAGCAGACGTTTTCATAAAGGACCATAGCCAGTGGGAAAGATTCACACAGGGGCAGAGGAGAAGCATGAGCTCTAGGCTGTGTAGGCTGAGAATCACACAGGTGCTTGCTGTGTCATGAGCCATGGGAACTGTCCCTGCAAAAATCCAGCCTGCTAAGCCCACCTTGCCTCAGCAGGTGAGAGCAACTGCAGCACCAGCCATTGTGAGCACAGCTTATGACAGCCTCGTGTAATAAGCTGCTTGCTCTTCAGATTCCTCTACATTTTACTGACTAAAGAAGAGAGGAGGAACGTTCTTTTAGTACAATCACCACAATAAAAGGTGTGAGTTTAAAAAAAAAAAAGAAAACCCACATTGTTGTATTGGGTTCTAGCTGCAGACTGTCCCCCTGCAAGAAAATTTAACATGTTAAGGATAATTTTGAAGAAGGGATATTTATTGTATTACAAGATTTTTATCTCATGTATATAGAAGCATTATTCTGTTAAAAAAAAAGCCTCATCATGGTCCCATCCAAGGGGAGCCATGACAGAGCTTGACAGATCAGATTTGTCCTGACTGGCTTCTTTTAGGATTTAAATAGCAGCCTTTTGCCTCAGCCCCAGCCCTACATCAGCTTTAGCGGGAAGAGAGAACATCCAAAATTTACACAGACAGACCACTTTTGGCCTCAGAACAGCTGCTAGCCCTTCAAAAGCCACTGCTATTCTGTTCCCACAGTTCCATCACTGAGAAGACAATCACAATATTTCATGTATATTTAATAACAAGATGAAATATTGATTTCCTTTCCAGCTTTAAGTTTGGTTTAGCATTTTATCTCAAACCTCAAATCAGCAGCAAAAATAGCCCCATACAACTGGAAAGTCCCTAAATCCATGAAAGCTGCACTTGAGTTACATTACAAGATCACAATTAAATTTATTTGCAATGTACATAATCACCACTCACACTCTAAATTATCTCATAATTACAGTGGTACAGAAACTTCTTAAGATATATTAGAGAATTTGAACCTGCATTATGTCATTGCTCTTATGCAATCTGTCAATATATCGATGTGTATGACTGGACATACCTGGCATATTCTTAAATGTTTACCCCAACAGTAAAACTCCCTTTTACATACTGGGCATTTCAGATCCCACACCTCAACCTCCAGTGCAATGCAAAGCCCTCATACTGCAGCATCTCATCTCTAAAAACCCACAAAAGTGCAAACTAGACCCATCCCAGCGCCCTGGCCAAGCATATTGGTTTTGAGGCCACCCCTCGGCTCTCCCTGCCTGGATGGACAGCCTTGTCCCTGACAATCAGGCTACACACAGCCTCTGACCACCTGGACAAGGGACACGAGGGGTGAACAAAAACTAAAACTCGACCCACACAAAGGTAGAGAATGCATATTGAGGCACAGCTGGAATGGCACAGGAGGCATGAGTGGCACAGCACAGAGGCTCAGCCAGGGCCCCAACACAGAACAGCAGCATGAGGAAAGGGCAAGAGTGCTGCAAGATGGGGGCACACAGCAGGGTTAAACCTGATCACCCCATGCCCACGGTCACCCCAACTGGGGGATACAGCCTGCAGGCTGGATGAGGAAACCTGCAGCAGTTCCCCTGTGGGCACAAGGCTGTAATGGAGTCATGCCCTCACCCAGGTCTAGTGGAAACTCTGGAAGCTGCAGGCCTAAGAATTCCACCTCAGTGCTCACCTGCACTTCCTTCAGCTCCTCCCCAAGGTGGACAAAGAGCATATGTTGAGCTCAAAGGATTGAAGGGTGTTGTTTAAAAAAAAAAAAAGTAATTAAAAAAAGCTTATGGCCTGCAGTGGAATGGGGAAGGAGTTTGCCTGCTACAAGCTCCAGCCCCAGCTTCAGGTACTTTCATCCACTCCCCACCAGACTTCTTTGAAGCAAGAATGTGCTGATACATTAAGAACTCCTCTGACTAATAGCCACACTTCTGTCTTCTGCTATTGTTTCCTCTACCTCTCAAGCCCAGAAAAAAACCCCCAAACAAATCCTACTTAAAAAAATATATTTTGAAATCTTATGAATATTTGTTTTCTGTTACGTTAACCACTGGCTAGTCAACATCCTTTCCTGGCTTTAAGGAGAGCAGCTGCCAAGAAGTGGCCTTCAACTCTCTCACACAACAGACACTGAAAAACATTCCCCTGCAAGAAACAAGTTCCAGCTGGATGTTATTTCATATTATTCCTTCATGCTAAACATTTTTAAACATACAGGTTACTTAAGCTTTAAGCGAAGTGCCCAAACACAAAGACCAAAGCTTCTCCTTTATTAAGAACACAATATATTAGTTCTGTTCATCTCTGCTTTTGCTGAAACAAGTGAAGTTACAGCTCACTTCACATGTCCTTAGCCATTATTCCCTACTGCACACTCAACTTCCACCTTATTAGTCAGACACTTTTCTTTTTCAGGAGAAACTCCAATTTGAGCAATTCTCATGTGTTTAAACAAGAGGAGTTCCTACCAGCACCCATGTCCTCTCACCCCTTCTTGCTAATTGATTAACAGATCTTCACAACTTGTGTAGTTCCATAATTATGGGTATAAGATGCAGGACTTCCTCCTATTTTTAAAGAGTGCCAGCTCATCTCAGGAGATTAAAATAAATAAAAACCACATCTTATTGTGTTCAACAGACTAATAAAAATTCTATGTATCAGCATAACAGGCAATGTGTAACTGACAGTTCTGCTTGTGGAGGAAGTTATGCAAAGCCTCCTGGTGTCAAGCATCTGGAACAGCCCAGCATGCTGTAAAGCGATAGCCCAGCTATCCTTGCTTGCAGAAGAATCAAATATGTATTCCAGATATTTAGCACTGCTTTTCCTTGTGTCAGCAGCTCTTGTGAACATGTTCAATCCATCCAAGCAAAGAGGACACACACCTTCCACCTCTCAGCAGTTGTGTACTTGAAGAAAGGCACACAAGTTTCAATCTATATATGCAGAGAATAAAACACAACCAGGCAGGCAGGGCAGAATCATAGGAAGGTCTCTTAGGCACATCCTTGCTCAGTCATTTGGTTTGCTAGAGTTGCATGTGACACAGAAGTACTCAAGGCTGTGGGCTCAGAAAGGGGCTACAGAAGCCTTCCAAATTTCAGAGGCATGAGGCTGGGATACTTCTTCATATCCAGAGTCAGCTGAATGAAGCAAACATCTAAAAACATTCCTCTGATTTTGTCTATGTTATCAAATATACTCAATAACAAGATCACTGCATCTCAGCAGTCTGTACTGACAGCTCGCAGAAACCCAAAGAGCATTCTCAGCCGCATTTCCAGTTCTCCTTCTCATCAGTATCTGAACAGGCATGTAGTGAATCCTTTGGGGAGAAAGAACAAAAACAGAACAGTTTATTTTGTGCCTACTTCCACTTCATTTCTTACTGCAAGAGAAGGATCAAAGAATCCCATCCCATCCTTTCAGCCACAGGGCCAGGTAGTGCTACACAATCTCCATACCACAGTAGATATTTTGCCACCAAGAGCTGCCCTGCCTCATTCCCTCTCTGCAGTTTCACCTCTCCTGCCACTACAAGTTTTAATTTGGATGATCTTGCTTAGGAAGAAAAAGAAACATCTCAGTGCTGACATCTCTCATACTGGTTGCACAAGGCAGGCTTCGGTACCATAAGATTTTTCCTTACCTGGGTTAGAAGCTGATGACGTCTCAGTTGTCTATAGAACTGCAGCACAGAAGGATCAGCTCTCACTACTTTGGGGTCAAAATCCAGAACACGGAGACCTGCAAGGCTACGGGCTCGGGACAGGGCTACATAAGCCTGCCCACTTTCAAAGACACGAGACAGGGAGATTTCCACACAGTCTAAAGACATGCCCTACCAAAGACACAGAGAAATTTGTTACAAAACAAACAAACAACAATACCATGTATCAACACTAACCTGCCCTGTGAGTCTAAGGTATCATCCTTGCTGCATGGGCTTGATAAAAAAAGGAAGTCTTTTGTTTGACTCTGTAACTATGATTAAAAGATGGGACTCAGTAGAAAGGAAAGACAGTTTCCCACTGTCAGGAAATTGTTAGCAGACAGTAGGATCCACTAACTCCAGTGAGCCTCTTGTGTGAAACTCCATAAATACCATCTAATCAACACAGGAGGGAAAGAAATCCTGCTGGTTTCACTCCTAATCATTAACTGGAGCAGCCACCATTCCCAAGCAGTCCTCAGACAGACCATCTGAGAGGGAGTTTAGGTTAGGGCTGGCTAACCCTGTCTGCAGAGCTGTCTCGGGGGCAGCAGAACTTACAGCATAGCATGGTTTATACAGTGACATGGGGACAAACTCACAGGTCTCCAAGACTAGTATTTATCAAAATATATGAAGTCTTCTGGAAAGGAAGGAACCTTGAACAGTTATGTTGTTACATTGAAAAAACCAAGACACACCACCAAAGGCTGAGTTCAGCCCATGGAGCACAGCTGTGGCTCTGGCAACTTCTCAGTTACACTGCAAATCTTGGGGTCACTAATGCTGATGACTCTCAGGGAATCACTACCCTCATCAGCCCACAGTGGTAAATCATGCTGCTTTACAGTCTAACGCCAACTGTGCAGATGGCAGCACCCTTATGGAAACTCCAGCAGGATAACTAGCCTGTCTGTGACCCTATAGGCAAGCATCACAAACAGAAGAGATGCTACCTTCTCTGCAGCTAGACATACATATTCTAGAGTTCCCCCACAACAAGGGCCTTTCAGCTTTCCCTCCTGTTTTAGCAGCAATGCAAGCTTACTCAGGAAATAAGACTTATGATGGTGTAAGAGTCTATAGCCAGCTGTATAAGAACACCCACCTGACTCTTGTGAATGGAAATGGCCCATGCCAATTTTAAAGGCAACTGTTGACGACTCAGATGAACCCCTGATGGTCCTTTGAAGACCCATTTCGCTATTTTTATGACCTGTGTGACCCCGCAGAGAAACCTCACCTTAGGCAGCCCTGTAGGAATGGCAGCAGGAGAGAAAAAGGCATGTCTTTCTGACATTCAACAGCCAGGAAGCCAGCAGCCTAAAAACATTCCCCCCCCAACCAAATCTAAACCCAAACACAGTATATAGCATGTCCTGAAATTGCGTTTGGGACCTACTTAAGTCAGAGAATTATACTCAGATAAATTATCAGATGACATGCAGAGAAAAATACATGTTGCAGATAGCAGAACATTACTCTGAGAAAACCTCACCAAAACTTGCTTTAACACAGCAAACAGGAAATACAAATGAGCATACACATGTAGAGAATACAGAGAAGCAAACACATGAGGCCCACAGATAGCTACACCTGACACAGTGCATGACATCACAGCTCATGAGAGCCCCAAACCTGCAGAGATCTCTTCCCTGCTTGCCCTCAAATTATTCTTACCAGGCAGTATAAAAAATTAAGAAGTCAGCCATTAGTCACAAGTTGTTATGTTATTTTCCCCTCTTCCTTCAACAAAAGATCAAGAACCTTACTTACCTTTCTGTTCACTTTCAAATCCTACAACAACACCTCGTGCCCCATTCACCAGCCCTTGAGAAACATCCAAATTCTTTGCTAGCATCACCTACAGAGAAAAAGAACAATCCTTCAGTGCAGTGGCTTTACAGCCTGTTCAGCCACCTGCAGCTAAACTTCAAGCCAAGCAGCATAAGCATATCAGGCTGATATGGTTACATCATCCTATCCTGCCTATTGCAGGACAGAGCTGCTTCTGTCCACAGCTGGGAGCTCAGATCCAGGGAGCAGATTCCCCTTCCCCAAACACCAATTAGCCTTGACATGGGTAGATTCTCTGAGTCAAAGTCACAGCAATCACCCCTGGCCCCAACACATGGACCTGCACTCAAATTGAACTCATTCCTTGGCTGGATAAGATTCCAAGCAGATAGATACAATGATTGGGATAGAGTCTTCTGTTGGCCTGGCACAGCCATTCTATACTGAATCTGCATTCTATACATTAACGCGCTCTATACATTTATCTGATATTCCTTTATTTTTCTTACACCATTTGTTCCACTGGTCTATCACACGTGTATGTACACATGCTTACCTGAGCTCCAAGCTTTAGCTCAATTCTACCACCCACAGGACACTGAGCATCAATTAACTTCACTAGCATTGGGTCACTGTCCAAAGCCTCAAATGTGTGTATTTTTCCTGTTAAGGAAAGAAAAGCGTAACAAATTGCAACCACTGAACATATTCTACACATCATTGCAGGAGGTTCAGCATTTATTTCTAATAGCAATTCATCTTTTAATATCCATTCTGCTTTGCTGCTAGGACACCTTCACACAAACCTTGTCACATCTAACAGCTCATTAATGCCTCTCTTCCCAATATAACTCCCAGAGCACAGGAAGGCTCAGGAATCAGAAACTGGCAGTAAATAAGAACAGTCAGCATTTGAGCATATGACCAGTTTCACTTGCTGCCAACACCAGAACTCTAAAGTAGACTAAAGAAGAATCCAAGGGCCAGATAGGGAGGCAAAAACTGAAATAGTCCTTAATTTAAGTCATGGCTGGATAGAGCACTGCCTTTCTAGGATGATATAGAAACAAAAAGCAGAGGTGTGGAGGAAATAAATGACCCATCCTACCTCACAGCAAGCAATGAGTTTACTGTCTGTTACACACCAGAAGTGACAACGTGGAATTTTAAGCAAAAAAAAAAAAGTGAAGTTTTTCCCGAGGCAGCTCAAATCCTAAACACACAGCTTGGACTGGTGCTGCTGTACATGACAGAACATCAGTTCCTTCTCGCACCATAGTATCCCCATTGCATCCAGTCAGAGCTCAGCCTCAAAGCCAGCAGTTTCCTCCACGGAGTTCACCTGATAGCTGCTGCAAGCATCTCTCGTTAGTTATTTCTACATCATCTTTGTGGGTGCAGAGCCGTGTAGCCAGGATCCCATCACGCTCAGACCTGTTCGCAGCTGTCTGCATCAGCTGCCTGGTAACCTCCTCTGTGCACCTGGGAAGAGAATTATTCTTTACAGTGATCAGGAACAGATCTTGAGCAGCAGTAACCTCCACATAGCTGGGTCAGTCTGTGCAAGCTGCAGGTCTCCAGAGAGAAGGACAGAGAAAGATAGCTACCTAAAGTTGGACAGCAGTGCCAGTGTCTGCCCCAGCCCTGCCCCAGCCACTGTCAGCTCAGGATCCATTGAATTCATTCACAGAAACTGCAGAGGGGCCCTATAAAGTGTCCTTCCTTACCAGAGCAGCATATATGAAGCCTGCCTATATTAACTAAAGCATTTATAGCTATTGCCCCCAGCTACACATTCCTGACAGAGCATAGAAGAATGACAAACTGCTCTTTCCTGTGCTCCATCAGCAGGGAGCCGAGATTACAGAGATGTATTTCTCCTCACCTGCCTAAACGGATTGCACTCAGGAGGGAGACAAAAGTCTTGTCAGTCTGTCTCCGCACTTCAGTCAGCTCCATGTTTATGTGGATGCATTTCCTCCAGCTTTTTGCCTAGAAAAACCACTCTCATTAAGAAAGGGGCAGACTTGAAGTATGAGAATGAGCTTAGGGCCAGTTTTGTACCTGGAAGCAGAACTTGGTTTCTTCATTAGCCTTGGAAACTGGGGGTAGCTGCAAAAAGTCCCCACAGATGATCAGCTGAATTCCTCCAAAAGGCTCATCCCGTTTTCTGACTGCCCTGAAAGGAAGGGAAGAGAGAAGTTTTGAATGCCCTCCAGAACCTGAACATAGTCAGGTGTCAGCAGTTACTTCTTAATCTGTCAGTATATTCAAAGATAAACATCTTCTACTGCAGGTGCTGTATCTTCAGCTGTGTCAGAAGAGCCAGGCCATTACAAGATGTTAAATTTGCTTTGCTTACCCACCCCAGATGTCACTACCAATCTTGGTTCATTGGTTCTCTGCAAGAGAGAGCTTCTGGGCACTGTATTCTAGACTCAACTCTATAGACAATACTTGGCTCAGGACATAAAAACAGCAACCTGAACAGCCACAGCTAGAGAGAGGAGACAATCAAATACTACCTCAAGATAAAGATCTGCCCATATGCTATGATTTCATGCTGCCTTACAGTCCTAAGCCAGCAGTTGCTTCAGATCCATTCACAAAAACAGAGAAAGAAAGTAGCCTGGAAATTTAGGGAAATTTGTTTCTGCTAGTTGTTTGACCTGACCTGACAATTGCTCACCTCGCCACTGCCTCCAGCCTGTCAAAGAACTTGCCATCCACCATTGAGATCTCATCGATAATTAAGTGCTGGCAGGCCAGCCAGTGCTGCCGCACCCCAGGCCGCTCTGCCAGCTGAATGCACTGTTCCAGCGGTGCTTTCCCAGAGCCAATCCCTGGCAGGGGAGAAGAGAGTAACGTTTTGGGAAGCTTCTAACTCTTTGGGAAGGGAGTGAGAGGTCCCGGTCCTCCACTGTCTGGCAGGCAATTACCTGCAAAGGCATGGAGAGTAGTGCCACCGATGTGACAAGC